AAATGTGAGGGCCAGGACTCAAATCCAGGTCAGCCTGGGGCAGGGGGTGGAGTGGGGAAGAAAGGAGTAGTTCCAAGCTATCTTCTCTAACCACTGGGCGTCATTCCCAGCCTTGGACTGTGGCCCTAGGGGTGTGGTGAAACCGAGTCCTGTTGCTATTCACCTTGGGAGGCCTCCTAGGAATGTCTGTCTGGGCTCCAGACAGTGGCCCTTTGTGGAGGGAAGGAGGAGCAGGTCTGGAAGGGGCTGAGTGTGAGACACATCCCCTGCTCAGTACAGGTCATTCTCCATCTGAGATGGCTTGAATGTGAATGAGAGCCCTAGGCTGCCCAGAGGGAAGATATGGGAGGGCCTTTACTGTCCTATAGTCAAACCAAGGAGTAGGCAAGATGATGTATTTGAGAACAGCTCTTCCCCTCTCCTGCCCAGAAAAAGATGAAATGAGGGCTCAAGGTACCCCGGAGATGTTGCTTGAGCACCTATATAGAGAAGGCATATCAGGACAGACTGTCCCTTTTCCACAGCTCCCTTCCTAACCCAAACAGCAACAATGCCAGGGCTGTGTTAGATCTTTTCTGCTCAGTCCCACACCCAAGGGAGGCTGCTGCCCCCTTTCCTGACCTGAGAGAACCTTTTATAGAAACTCTTCGTCTTGGAAGATCCAAGATCTTGGAAGATATCAGGACTGGGCTTCCATCTCTGCAAGGATAGCGGTGGGGTAGCGTTTTGGAAAGAGTACTGCCTTTGGAGTTAAGGGCAACACAACTCAGTGATGGTGGGCTAGTTGACCTTTGATCCCTCTCAATTCTAAATGTATGGTCCCATGATGCGGATTCACCTTGCAGCTGTGTCACTTACTGGTTAATCTCACAGTGAGGGTCTCAGCTATTCCATACTGGTAATGGATATATGGCTGTTCACAGGGGCACGTGAGCTCTCACAAAAGGCCTTTGAAGACCAAACAGGTATTGCTCCTGGCTGAACAGGGAGGGGTGAACTGGCCTACCTTTGCCTTGCTATGGGTCTGAGGGAAGTTGTCTAAGGAGTCGAGTTAGCCTGTATCAGCTACAGGAAGGACCTGGCTCCAGTCCTAAAACCATGACAATCTCAATGCTTTTCTGAAGCATCTCCAGGGGAGACTCTGCAGCATCCCTTAAAAAAAATAAATAAAGAAAGAAAGAAAGAAAGAAAGAAAGAAAGAAAGAAAGAAAGAAAGAAAGGAAGAAAAGAAAGAAAGAAAGGTTCCTCCCTTCCCCAGAGATCTATCTCTCAAAACAAAGAATTTGTTTTAAAGAGAAAGGAAGAGAAGCAGTTCTAGAAAACTATCAACATTATCAACAGAGATGGCATATATAATGTTTTGTACCCATAGTTTCTCACCTCTGCAAAGAAGGAAGGGAGGTACATTTTCCTCTTCTGGGGTGCCAAACTTGACTATATAATTACATGAGATTCATTCAGTTTTGCTTTTTCCCTCTTGTTCTTTCCATTTACATTGCTGAAGTCATTGTTGTCCTGATTTGCTTACTTCATTTTGCACCCATTCATATAAGTCCTCTACCACTTCCCTATATTCTTGATAATCATTGTTTCTTATAGTACAGTAATATTCCATTTTGCTAATGTAACAAAATTTCTTTAGCCAGTCCCCAACTGATGGACAAATACATTGTTTCCAGTTCTTTGCTGCTGGACAAAGTTTTCGGCCTTCTTTGGAAACAGATAAAGGTCCTCTTAGCTTAGACTTTAAGGAGTCAGGAAATTCTCTTTGCTATGTAATCTAAATCCCCCTCTCTGCTGCTTAATTCTCCCCCTTGGTGCAGTGTCATCTGATGACATACCTCCCAGGTGGCACTAAACTTATCTTAGAGGAGTGGGAAAAAATGGATTCAGAGCCAGAACTGAGTTAGGGGAAGAGAAAGACTGGACCACAGAGCTTCCTTCTTCCCTCAGAGTGGCAAAAGTTCAAACCCAAGTTGTGTGACTCCAAATCCAGCATTCTCCACCAACAGATATCCAAACTCTAGGATGGAACTCTGTGAGCACTGCTATTCACATAATCATTATGTATTCCCACCCCAATTCCTGACCTGCCCCCCCTCCCTGATTGCATCTGTATAAATACTTTTAAGGTCATTTAAGCCCTTTTATATCTATCCCATGCAGTTCTAATACTGAGCCTCACCTACTAACTCTTCCAGTTCTGACACTGACTTACTAGCTATATAACTTTGGGCAATCTCTCTGGGCCTCAGTTTCCCCATCTGACAGCCTTCATAGATTATATATAGTGAAAAAAAATTCTGGACTGGGAGCCAGGAGAATAGGTTCAAACCTTGGCTCTGCCATTTGCTGCCTCTGTGACTTTAGACAACTCGTTTCACCTCTCTGGGTATCAGTTTCCTCACTATAAAATTGGGAGGGAAGTGTTTGGACTAATAGATCTTTAAGAACTTCTTCTAGCTTTAAATTATATATTAGTCTTCTTATTTTACAAATGGGGAAACTAAGGCCCAGAGAAGGAAAGTGATTTGTCTGGGTTCACAGAGTTCCATCCTAGAGTTTGGATATCTGTTGGTGGAGAATGCTGGATCTGGAGTCACACAACTTGGGTTTGAACTTTTGCCACTCTGAGGGAAGAAGGAAGCTCTGTGGTCCAGTCTTTCTCTTCCCCTAACTCAGTTCTGGCTCTGAATCCATTTTTTCCCACTCCTCTAAGATGAGTTTAGTACCACCTGGGAGGTATGTCACTAACCCAAGCTCGCTCTTTCTATTATGCTTTCAGGCTCAGGACTAGGGCAGAGGGTAGAAACAAATACTGGGTGGAGGGGCTAGGGATTAATTTGGGTGAGGTCTCCTAGAAACCAGTTTCCCTTGCCTTATTTCTAATCAAGGGACATTTAAAGCTATTTCTTTTTGTCTGCTGGACAGCTTTGGCCTATCCCAACATCCAAAGGGAGACACTATTATTATAAGCAGGGGGAAAAGAGGGGAGTCTGCCTCTTACCCCCTTCCCCAGGTATGACCAGAAGTATCAATTTTCAAGGCAGGAATACACAGATAAATAGGATGATGCTTCTCACCTCAAGCAGCTTTTAATCTAGCCTAAAAGGGGAAAGACATACCCAAATAACTGTTAGTAGGTCATAGGATCATAGCTCTAGAATTGGAAAGGTCCTTAAAAGGCCCACCTAGTCCAAATCCCTTATTTTACAGATGAAGAAACCAAGGCCAATGTAGGTTAAGTTAGGTGTCTTGTCTAAGGTCATACAGGTAGTTTCAGAGGCAGGATTTGAACCCAGATCTTCCAGAATACTTTTGCTACTATAGGATACTGCTGATAGAAGGAGAGAGTGAGGTAAATGCAAAGAAGAGGTGCTTCGGGGAATTTGAGCTGAGAGAGACCGATTTTTACCTGGAGGTTCAAGGCAGGCTTCATAGAAGAGGTGGCACCCATAGATTCACTTGGCCTTGAAGTAAAGGAAGGATTTCAGTAACTGCAGATGAAGAGGGAGCCCGTGTCAACCTAATCCAATAAGCCTTTACTAAGCATCTACTATGAGAAAGGCACTGAACTAGACATTGGGGTTATGGTGAGAAAACAAACAGTTCCTGCCCTCAAGGGATTTACATTCTACTGGTTCCAAGCAGGGAAGACAGAGGAAGAGGCATGGCAAGGTGGAATGAACCAGAATCACTAGGAATCTCAGAGTTGGAAGGGATCTCAGAGGTTAGTCCAACCTGTACTTGACTGAGAATCTATTACAACATCCCAGTGAGTGTCCATCATCCAGCTGGAAGGCTTCCTGTAAGAGGAAGCCCATTTTCTCCTAAAGCAGCCCATTCCAATTTGGACTAGTTTTTGTCACTTGGAAAATTTCCTTTAGATCAAGCTGAAATCTACCTACCTGCAGCCTCTACTCATTCCTCCTATTTCTAACCTCTCCCCACTCCTCCTAAGCCACAACAAGAAGAACGGGTCTAATCCCTCTTTCACCCAAAGAACCATCAGACCATCAAATATTGAAGACAGCTATGCTGACCCCACTTGTCTTGATAAATAGCTCCAGTTCCTTTAGCCAAACCTCAATAAGCACGATCTGCAGACACACAGGTAGATTACACAGATAATAAGATGCAGGAGAAAGAGCCCTGGGCTGAAACTGGGGAGTCCTGCCTTCTAATTCAGGCTCCAATACCACCTTGCTGTAAGATCTTTCTAAAGCCCCTTTCCTTTTCTGGACCTCAGTTTGCCCAACTGTAAAATGAGAGGTTTGGATTTAATGGCCTCTGGAATGCTACTGGAAGGCACCTTTGGGGAATTCCCAGGCCTGTGACAGGAAAGAAGGTTGGGACGTGGGGATGGGATGGGAGACATCGTGGAGGGGATGGTGGTGGTGGGGAATGTGGGGAGGAGCCCAGAGAAGAAAGACCTGGGAACTCACAGGCAGGTCCACAGCCCGGAGCCAGGCCACTGCCAGGGTAGACTTGAATGGATTTGTGGAAGGCCTGGTCCCGGACTGTGAACTCGTTGGGGCAAGGAGCTACCTAGTACCGGCCACAAGCCAGAGCTGGGGATCCCCGGGCTTTACTCGAGAAGGGGCGGGGCAAGTCCAGCAGGATACCCCCTCCCCGAGAAAGGGGGGCGCGGCAGAGAAGGAGGGAGGGGCCCGCTGGGGCCGAATCCCTGGCTCTCTTTATCTCGCAGCCGGAAGCCTAGGACGGCCGTGCGTTCCTAGCCCAGGTAAGCTAGGAGGAGCGCCTAGGGAATCAGGGCTTAGGACCCTCAGCTCTCGAAGGGCGCAGGCAGCCCCCCAGCTGGTCCACGGGCCCCATCCCCTCCCCCTGACTCATGGCCAGGGCCCGGCCCCGCCGCCGCAGTTCCTCGGCGCCTGCGCTCGTCTACCCGGCTCTCAAGGGGGAGGGTCTGGGGCGGGGCCGCGGGGGAGGGGGACCGGGGGTGTGCTCGGCGGGCGGGGCAGAGGGAGTGGGGGGGGGCCCGCTGCGCACCGACGGGGCGGGCCATTTCTGCGCAGCGCAGGCGAGGCTGGGAGCCCCGGAGCCTGGGTCCCTCCGGCCCGAGTCGCTGCGGGAGCGTCGCTGTCCCGGACGCTGGACAGCCCAAGGCTGGACCGCGGACAGGTCAGCTTCCCCACCCCCACCCTTCGCCTCCCCCGGGGCGTCTCCCTGCACCCTCCTTCTTAAGACACAACGAGGGGCGGCCCAGGCTCCAGTAGGGGGGAGGGGGCGATGCGCGCCGCAGAGATGGGGGGGTGACAGGCCTGGACCCAAACCCCAGGATTGGGAGGGCTGCCCCCACCCGAAGCCCGGGCCCCGTTCTTTCAGAACCAGCGGGTGTGTGTGTGTGTGTGTGTGTGTGTGTGTGTGTGAGAGAGAGAGAGATTGTGATTGTGTGTGACAGCTTGTGTCTGTGTTTCCGTGTGACTGTATGTGTGTATGTATGTGGCTTTGTCTCCGCACCGATGGGCGGTGTATGTGTTGCGAGGGGGGATCGGTGAGAGGTTGGGGGGCTCGGAGGTTATGGGGCTGTGGGTGTGAGGGATGTGGTAGGGGAGGGGGAAGGAGGGAGAGGCTAGAAGGTTTCAGAAGCGCAATGGTCGTCTGAGGTGGTTGGGGTTTGGTAGAGGATTTGAGAGATTGGGGGCTTTGGGGAAGGCATTGGGAGGGCGGTGGCTGTGGGAGGAGGTTGGGAACTGTGTGTGCCTGGAGGTTTTGGGAGGCTTTGGGGTAGGCAACCGCAGGGCCCCTCTGGGAGACCCAGCCGACGGTTCCAGTGGGGGTGGGCGTTGGAGGTTTGAGGTGGGCTGTATATATGGGAAGGTTTAGCGGGCTTAGCAGCTTGAGAATTTGGGGGCTTGTGTGGGAGGGGCTGGTGGAGGTGGCTGCAGAGCCCGCTCAGGGAGACCCCGCAGATACTCGGGGGCGGGGATTATCGGCGCAAGCTTTGGGTCGGGTGCTGCCCGGCCGGGGGGAAATCATTTATGTGGGTAGGGTAGCGTGGGGAAAGGGGGGAGTGCCTTTCCTATCCCTACACCTGCGGGGGCTCCACCCACGGAGGGGACCCGCCTCTCGGCCAGAGCAGGTGATTACTGGTTGCCCCCTCCCCCCAGAAGGGGCAAGAACTGGGATTTTGGGTTGGGGGACTCCTCTAGCTCTTGGCCCCGGGCCGGGTTCTAGCTCTGGGGCTGCGGTCACCTTTCCTGGTCCTAATGAGACTCGCCCTCTTAAAGGGCCAGTGTTCCCATTCCTCCCATCCCCAGACTCTCCTCCCTGCGCTTTTCCACGTTGAAGAGGATGAGAGTGGTGTATCTTTCTTTGTATGTATGTGTCTTTGTGGACAAGGAGTATATATCTGTATATGGTAGATCTTTGTGTGTATGTAGTGCCAGTATCAAGGAGAGGGGTGACATCTGCGTGTATAGGTCTGTGTAAGGGGAGGCATTTTTCCTCTTGGTGGCCACAGTTGTGCTGAGTTGGCGTCAGGTTAGGGAAGGTTCCTGGGAAGAATTCAGGACCCAAGCTTCCTTTCTCCTTCATTATTGGGGCCTTTGAGGCTGCTAGAATGGAATTCTTCTCTAGATGAAGGACTTGTGTTCACTAGTGTATTTGTGATAACTTGTCTGCTTCTGTAACCATTTAAATGTTGATCTGGACAAGGAGGTAGTCTGGAAGGAAGAGAACAAAACTCCATGGATGAGCATTAAGCAGGGCCTGGTGATCTTTCCTATATGTTATGCTTTCCTAGGATAACAGGTTCCTAGATTTAGAGCTGGAAGTGACCTTAGTCTATTTAATCTACATCCAAGTCCAAATCCAAGTCCAGTCCATTTATAGTTGAAGAAACTGAGGCACAAAAAGGTTAAGGGGATAATGATTTGGGCACTAGTCCTCGCTCTGCTACCAAGTAAATTTTTGAACTTGAGCAAATCTTTTTCCCTTCTGAGTCTTACTTTCCCCATCTGTAAGATGAGAGAGTTTGGACTCAGTGGTCTATAAAGATCTGCCAGGTTTGGACACTGGATTGCTTTGTTTCCCAAAGGAGTATGTGTTGTGAGTTTCCAGTTGTGGTCTACTTCTGGGTGTAGGTTGTGATCACGGCATGTATATGTCAGGATAGCTCAGTTACCTCAACCTCTATTAAGTTCCTGAAATCATATTTGGGCCCTTTTCACTCTCCCTGGACCCCTGAAATTTACTGTGGGCTGAGAGTCTGGGGTGGCTTGGCTTGGGCCCTGGGCAGAATTGGTTTTCCTTCTGAGTCTCAAGCAAACTTTCCATTTCTCAAATTCTATCTGCTTCATGAAATCTTGACCATTCCACGTAGAAGTAAGCACTTCAGAGCATCTATTATCTGAACTACATTTGCTAACTAGCCCTTAGGTCATGTCTTGTGTGATGAGAGATTTCTGGAGGCTGTTCACCTCTTGGACTTCTCATTGGTTCCTAGCATTGGGCTTACCACACAGGAACAGAGAAAGATAACACACACATTTGCAGATTAGCAGATGGTAGGGAGTTAGGATAGAGAGCTGAGGCATTGCTAAACAGCAGAGTCAAGAGTCTAAAAAAGATTGACAGGTTAGACCAGGAGTTCTTTACCTGGGGTCTGTGAACTTGTTTGTTTTTTTAAATACTTTCATAACTGTATTTCAATATGATTGACTTCCTTTACAATCCTATGTGTTTTACTTTATGTATTTAAGAGCATGATTCTGAGGATGGCATCCATAGGCTTCCCTAGGTTGCTGACAAAAAACAACGAAAAGAAAAAACCTAAAACACCAAACTTTAAGGACTCCTGGGTTAGAATAATTTAAAAAGATGGAATTGAATAGGGATAAATGCAAAGTCCTAAATTAGGTTCAAAAAATCAAGTATACAGAGAACGAAGGTAGTCTGGCTAGGTAAAAATCCCTTGGAAAAGATAGCAGGAGTTTTTAGGAGCCCAAAGATCTTGGACTGCACTAATACATGCATGGTTTTCTGAACAAGGGAGGTCATGGTCTTTTTGTCCTCTACCCTGAAGTGTCACATCCAGTTCTGGGACCATGTTAAAGGAGGCACTTGGATTGATTGGAACTTAGCCAGAGGAAGGCAGCCAGGATAGGGAGGAGACTCAGACCCATGCCACTATGAAGAGCTTTAAAGAAACTGAGGCTGTTTAGCCTGAAGAAGAGAAGACTTAGAAGGCACCTGATAGCTGTCTTCAAGTATCATGTCATGGATGTCATGGGGAGGAAGGACTAGATCAGTTCTTGTTTAGCCTCAAAAAGGCAAAACTAGATTCAGTGGGTAGAAGTCATAAGAAGGCAACTGTTCATAAGAAGACAGTGCTGTCCAACCAAGAAATGTGGGGCTTAGGAGGCAGGGAGTGCCTCATTACTAGATGTCTTTAAATGGAGGCTGGATGACCACTTATTGGGGATATGGTAGAGAGGATTCATGCTTAGGAACTAGTTGGACTCGTGTGACTCTGAGAGTAGAGTCTCTGTTTCTATGACACATCTGCTGGTTTTGTTGGGAGAACCTTTGGGAGGGCATTGGATTGGGATTTGGGAGTTGAGCCTAGATTTAAAGCAGGAAGGGACCTTAGAGGTCATCTAGTCCAATTTTACAAATGAAGAAACTAAGGCCCAAGGAGATCATAGGGTCATAGTTCTAGACTAGAGTCTGAAGGAGCATCAGAGAACATCTTGTCTAACGTCTCATCTTACAGGTGAGGAAAATGTGGTCTAGGGTGGTTAATTGACTTGTTTGAGGTCACATGGTAGTCAGGATTCAAACTGAGGACCTCTGACTCCATCTTAAGGATTCTTTCCACTGCATCATGTCTTTTAAAATGAGGGGTAGACTAACTAATCACTAAGGGCCTTTGGGAGCTGTAACATTCTGATTTTAGGATTCCTTCTGTAGCAGCTTTTGTTTGCCTGGGGTGAAGCCACCCCTCTTTCTTTCTTCTCAGTGACTACCTTCAGCCATCTTCCTGGTTATGCTGTTCTCCTCTCCCTCACACACCCTAGGTCTCCCTTCTCACCCACATGTGATTGGCCCTGGGTGCCAATGCCCTGATGGCCGGATCCCAAGGCTAGGTTTCCAGTCCTTCCTTCTGCTCATCTACCTCAAGGCATACTTGCTTGCCACCCTTTTCTCCATTAATCCCCAGGAAAGGGTAAGACAGAAATCCCTGTAATATATTGCCTGTAATATATCCAGATCCTTTTTGGCCCTTGAGGTAGGTGAGGGGAGAGACAGGGCAGTGCCAAGTAAGAAGTTCCCATCAATTAGGCAGCATGGTCTAATGGGCAGAGCACTGGATTTGGAGCCAGAAAGACCTGAGTTGAAATCTCACTTCTGACATTCTGGCTGTGGAACCTTGGGTGAGTCACTTAATAGAAGCTAAGCCTTAGTTTCCTCATCTGTAAAATGAGGCAGTTGCACTAGATGGCCTCTAAGGTTCCTTCCAGCTCTAAAACTGTGATTTTAGGTTTCTGAATGTCTGGCCCAATTAGCCTGCCTAAAAGAAGGGAAGGATGAGAGTATGGGGAGGGGGGCGGGGACTCAGGCCAGATCTCTTCTGCAAGGGGAGACTCCAACAGAGATGAAGATACTCTATCATTTCCCTCTTCCTCGTTCCTACCCTTCCTTCAAAGCCTATTTAAGCCCTACCTTTTTCCTGGAAGACTTCAGACACTGTTCCCCCAGCCATTGGACTTGGAGTTAAAAGACTAGGTTTCTATTTTGGTTTCAGCACACATTAGGTGTCTGACTGGGGCAAGTCACTTTTCCTCTTTAAAAGGAGGAGAATATACTGTCTTCCTTCTTTGTACACCTCAAAGTGATATGGAAATGGGAGCTACCTAGCATTTAATCCTTCTCTGAGCTGCTTTGATATTTTACTTTTTAGATCCTACAATCCAGAGACTGGATCCAGACCCTTGGTTCTCTGTGACTGTCTGGTCTGTGTGCTTTTCTTATTCCCTCTGAAGGAATCATTCCCCTCTACCTAGTTCAGACTTTCATTTCTCTCTTGGACTATTGAAATAGCCTCCTAATGGAACTAGTCTCCCTACCTCAAGCTTTTCCCTTCTTCGTTTTTCTCCTACACTGCTGCCAAACTGATT